CATGTCGTAAGAGTCGACTAATTGGGAGCTTCCTTCGAAGCTGGAGTGCATCTGCATGAGAGGCAAGGAACCAACAGTCTTTCATACAAATTAGTCAGATCTGTTAAACGGATACACACACAACACTCAGGTTCTGGAGCAAGACTGCAGTCCAGAAGAGGACGAACAACCAGAACTTTCCGCTGGAGTTTACAGCTGGTGAACGCGAAGAAGAAGAAGATGAACAGACAGTTACATTTACCAGCAAGAATACACCTAAAACCCTAAACTCCACATGTCTTTCCGGCCAGTTTAGTTTCGGAGGCACGTGTGAATACAAGAAATGAATTCTAGCTGGAAAAAAAGTGCTGAAGGCAAGGACCATAACAGGGATTTCTTTCTAGGACAAAAGATGTCGGTACTCACCAGAAAGTGTCTCTTATAAAAGTTCTGAAAAAGTGATGTTTAAAAAAAACATGCCAATATTATATACCATTTCATACAATCAGGACACAACATTTAGCCTAAAAAAATTAGATAAAACTGTGCTGAATATTAAGTCCCCAAGGCATATTGGAGCTCATTAGATAGATAAGGCAGTTCTCAATAGACTTATAGACTCCAATCTTATTATCCTGTGATCTTGTGAGATGCAATTTTTCTTTATTTTGAAGCCCCACCCTGGCTCTTGCCAGGGGCTGCAATATAGCCCGACCATAAATATGGTTTAATAGCTGAAGGAGGTTTCTGGGATCTCTCCACGCTGATCCTCATCCACATGGTGGCACTTTGTGTCTTTGGGTGTTTATTGCTTATGTGATGTCCTATTGGGGTAAAATGTTCTACTACTATTACAAGAAATTTGTAATATGTGGCGTCCCCTTTCATTATTTGAAGCCCCACCCTGGCTTTTTCCAGGGGCCCTAAATATAGCTGGGCCATGAATGTGGCTGAAAGGGGTTTCTGGGACCTCTCCATGGGTGATCCTCATCCACATGGTGGCACTTTGTGTAACCAGGTGTTTATCGCTTGTGTGATGTTCTAGTGGGGTAAAATATACTCACCTACTTATGTACTGCGTATCTTTTGCCGCCCCAATAGGGGATGCACTTTTTCAATATACATATATTAAAGCCACACCCTGGCTGTCATTGGGGGTCCTAATATAACCGAACAGTTGAACCGGGTTTCTGGGACTTGTGCCCAGATGATTCTCATCTGAATGGTGGTGCTTTGTGTCACTGGTTGTTTATCCCACGTTGTGCGGTCCTGGTGGGGTTGGTCATCACTCACTCACAGACTGAGTTATTGGAGTGGCTAGACTTAATCGTCGTAACCTCCTTGTCAACGACAGCTTGATTACCCTGAGAACTAAAATGCATCAGCACCAGTTTGAGAGCACCGTTCAGCACATCTCAGAGATGTTTCCTGAACCTGTTGGCTAGTCATAGCCCTGTTTCACCCAAATATTTTATACCACACCTTTTGCAGATGATGGCGTAGATTACATTGCAACTTGCTCAGTATTGATACTTCTGTATTGTCCTCTTTAAGAATGTCATCATTAGCGTAGATTACATTGCAACTTGCTCAGTATTGATACTTCTGTATTGTCCTCTTTAAGAATGTCATCATTGGCATAGATTACATTGGGACTTGCTCAGTATTGATACTTCTGTATTGTCCTCTTTAAGAATGTCATCATTGGCATAGATTACATTGGGACTTGCTCAGTATTGATAGTTCCTTATTGTCCTCTTCAACAATGTCATCATTGGAAGGGCTTCTCTGGACTCTTGTTTTAGACCAACTGGCATGCAGTGGGTGATGACACTGGCCACTTTTACTTCCCAGTTTATGAAAACACAGGCAGTAAAGCCAGACTAACAAGAATACAATAGCAGAGGGCTAAACAGATTCAAGTAAATCAAGAATAGAGGAAAAGACGGTGACATTGGACAGGACAAACACTGAGAAAGTGTGAGAACAATACAACTAGAATATCTTTACAGTGGAACACACGGGGGCACCGAAATAAAGGCAGACCAAAAATGTGATTGCAAAGAACAGACTGATTTGGCATGATTTAGTTGAGTGTCTTTGCTCCATTGGGGAATAAAAGGCAGAAAAAGAAAAAGAAGAGAAAACTAATTCATTGAGTAGACAGATAACAATCATGGACAGTTGGCAGATTGTGGAAAAACTGTTTGGAAGCTGTGAAGATGTTTATTTATAGGCGGATGATGAGAATACCCTGGACAGATAAAAAGAGTAATGAGGACGTCTTGAAAGTAACAACTCAGGAAGAGAACTCATTACCCACATCAGAAAGAGACAATCTACATTCTTTGGTCATGTGATGAGAAGGAGAAAACTGGAGTACATTGTGACGGTAGGAAAGTTGGAGGCGAGGCGAGGCAAAGGGAGACAGAGAAAAACTACTAAATAGTTTGACATCATGGCATGGAGGATCATCTTTGTCAGAAATGATTGAAAGTACACGAGACAGAAGGTTGTGGATAGACATGACTAAACCGCTACAAGGTATGAACTATGGAAGACCATCTGTGTCAGAGTTGATTGAAAGTACACAAGACAGAAGGTTGTTGATAGACATGACTAAACCACTACAAGGTATGGACTATGGAAGACCATCTGTGTCAGAGTTGATTAAAAATACATGAGTCAGAAGGTTGTGGATAGACATGACTACCAACACCACACGGCATGGGCTTTGAAAAGAAGTAGATAGGTAACAGATGTTTATTTGCCCACATTGTTTGTTTGTTTGTCTGCAGGGAGATGGAAAGTGTCCATGTATTACAATGGGAAGTATATGGATGGGTGCCCCATTGATGTTTGTGACCCTTCCCAGGTTAAAGTTCGTGACCTTGCAGGAGGACATGTTGGGAAAATTAATACATTCCATGGTGAGTATGAAAATGACACATTTATTGGTAAGTATTGAAACAAAAAATATACATTTTATGACGAGAATAAAAATAAAAACACATTTCGTGATAAGTATAGAAGAAAAATTATACATTTCACGTTGAATATTTTAAAATTATAGATACAAGTTTCTGTGAGACGGGAAAAGATGCTGGTATGGGATAAAACACACCTTTAGAAAAGCATGTGACAGTTAAATTAGAATGTTCTGGGACTGACAGGGTGAAAGGAATAATGGTCGGTTGAAAAATGAACAGAGGATATGAATTAGACAATATTGAAAGCTGAATTGAGAATCAGCATCACAACCCTTGGGACAGTCTCATAAGTGCTCTGTCCTTATCTTCAGCAGCAAAGGCAGAGTTCAGATTCCATTTCGGTGCCAGTAACAGTCTCGCTGTACATCCATCTTGTCTATCCCCTGAGTGTCCAGCGTCGGTGAGATCCCTTGGTTATCCCTTGCAGCTCCTTTCTCTTCAGTTGGTGAAGATCTCTCTGTGTCTCTGCACTGCTGACTCCTGCCCAAAGGACCCTTATAACATCTAGCTTGTCATGGGTTCAGTTCAACACCAGATGTTGCAGAACCAGTCAGTCTATAAGTGAATTACAGAATGCACTAGAACAGATCAGACTACTGAGGGAAAAACTGATAGATTTAGAATAGAAAATGGCTAATGAATGTAGAAGATATATATACAACAATGAGAAGGAAACAAACAAAGTTTTTTGGTCATGTGATGAGAAAAGAAGCACTGAAAAATATTATAATGACTGGAAAGATCATTGGTAGAAGAGGCAGAGGCAGACCAAGAGAAATGATGGTGGATGGCATAAGACAGTGGCATGGAGGAATATCATCAGTTGAATTGATCCAGAACACCAAAGACCCAGATCTGTGAAGATGCATGAACGCCAGCTGGCAAGGCACTTGAGGACGATGATTGGGTATATATAATAACAACCTGGGGTGAGCTGGACACAATCACAGAGAATAGAATTTCTTACGGTGCGTTCCTTGGGTGAATGCATGCATACACTTTTTTCTGTCCCAGTTGCTACCGGACAGACTTGACACCATGAGACCAGAAGATCTCAGTCTGGTTGGCAGACCGATAGGACAAGCTTAGATACCCTAGGCAACCTCCAAGATTGTTGTGCATCAGCCACAGAAGATCTGTGTAACCTGCAGTCACACACCAGTAGCGATTATCATGAGGCTTGCAGTTCACTGGGCGACATCTCCTGTGTGGGTTTCGGGTCTTCTTTGTGGGGAAAACAAGAGTAGACCCTCTGCCTCCCCCCTCCCAGTAAGCATGTTGTAATAGTCAACCTTGTGGGAGCTTCCTTTAAGGTGAAGGTTCCTGGGCCCCATGGGGGGGGGGGGGGAGGAAGGGGGGGGGGGGATAGAGAATAGACCTACTGACCTGCTGACCGACTACCCCTCTTAAGAAATTTGGGGTAAAGGGCAAATAATTAGGAGTTTGCTTAAATCGGAGGTGTTGAGCTAAAGGCACAGATATTGCAGCTTAGCTGTAAACCACAACATAATATGCCACAAACTCATTTGAGGATGGATGCAGAAGGGATAAGGAAAAAAGAACAGACACATTAATATTGGTTCTTTTTAACATGCAACAAATTTAACGCCTACTTAATGAAAACTTTTCCGAACAGTTGACTGCACCAAAGCTGGACCAGGTGACCTAGGGGTCAACATTTCACACAATGGCCGCCCAGTTACTGTCAACATTTCCCAGACTTCGACCCCAGGATATATGAAGGTGACATTTACGCCATATGAGGCAGGAGCTTACGAAATCAACGTTCACTTTAACAGGGCAGAGGTCAGAGGTGAGTAGCAATGTTAACAAAAAAATAAAAACTGTCAGTACAGTCTGTGTGTATTAATCAAGTAACAGAAAGTGTATTGATCGGCACTCATTGAAAGAAGTCTGTGTGTACCACTTTTTAGGCCGGTGTAGACAGCGATTTGAGAGCCACACAGCTAGTACTGTCACCACAGACTGTACGGGTTAGGATGTTTAATTTTGCCTCCGAAAGAAAAACTCCAACACCTTAACTGGGGTCAGGCCCGGGTCTACCGCAAAAGAGCCTTATATTGTAACCACTCGGCAAGCAACTCCCTGAGCAATAAAAAAAAAAAGTAAAGATCCCTTTTCCCGATTTAGGCACATCGGGTATTTGGAAAGAGCGTCCCATATTTTACAGACCAATCGGCACTGGATGGGTTAGCATGAGTCTTTACTTTCCCAGGACAGCCATCCTGGTACCCATTTTAGGCTGGGTCGACCTGTCCCTGAGCAATACTAGTTACTAATTACAAAGTCAGTAAGAAAGTCACAAATGGTTGTTTAAAAAAAAAAAAAAAAACTAAGGACAACTTGAAAACCATTTTTTTTACACATGCACTGTCCCTTTTGTCAGCTCTGAGGCTAAGTCGATGCGAACGCTTCATAATGCCAGGGGCTGTTGGGGTTGGTTCTGCAATGTCCTGTAAAGGATACGCAACTAGCCTAACTGTCCCTTTACTTTTCATCATAATTTCCACCAGCATTGATGCACTTGTCCCATAGTTTTATCAATCCTCCCAAACCTGCTGCATAGAACTGCGTGCTCTGTTTTTTAAACCACATTTTCACTTTACGTTCAACTTCTGCCACATTTGTGAAATGTCTCCTGCCCAAGGTGGGTTTCAGTGGACCAAAAAGGTAGAAATCGCTAGGGGTTAAACAGGAAGCATTTCCTTATGAATGTCTTTTGCAGGGAGCCCTTTTGCCCCCCCCCCCCCCCCCAAAAGTTGTCCTTTTAGAGTACACTTCATAAGTACAGTCGCCATTTTGTTTCTGTGTTGCGAATGTGCATGCAACACCTAGCGCCACCTAACGAATGAAGACATAAAGTTCGATGTTGCTGTCACCTAATGACACCTTTAGAAACCACCAACTACATTTTCCTGCCATCCCATAACCATTTGTGACTTACTTATTGACGTGACCTTGTAGAATTGTTGCTTAGAGTTTAGTGAACTTATTTAACAATTTGGTGGTCCTTGAGTACCAGGGTTTAGTTTCTGTGGCGGGGTTTATTTAAAAAAACACTGCCGTCGTGGGTTTGGGACAGTTGTATGAGAGTTGCACCCTGAAAGAAGCCTGGAGCCTACCACGTAATTTTCCTAAAGACAGCAATGGTACGCTGTCATCATCCTCATCATCATCATCATCATTGTCATCATCATCAGGTGCCTTGCTGACTGGCGTGGGCGAATGCACCTCACCACAATCTGCTATCTGTAACTGCATGTATCAGTTCTTGTGCTGACACCCCTCCATACCATGATAAAAGACTGTCAAGAATCTTCTCTCGTTGTCTTCCTCTGTCTCTCCTTCCACAGATCTTTCCAGTGGTCACAACATAGTTTCTATCTTCTCATAACATGGCCAAAAAATGATAATTGTCTCTTTCTGATGTCTGTGATAGGTTGTCTTTGAGCACCTGCCTCTTTCAAAACTTCTGGGCTACTTTTTTCAAGGACAGCTAAATCTTTCTTGTGGAAATGGACCACATTTTTTACAATAATTTTAAAACATATATATTTAATTTGTTTTTTCTCTCTTTGCCACTCAGAATGATTTTATTCCACATTTATTTTATTAACTCTTTGAGTCCCAGGGGGTTTAGCATCCGAGGCTCAAGGGGTAGGCAAGAGAGATGTAAAATCAGCGCATCTTGCACTCATTGGGCCTCTATGCAGGAACCTATGAACATATAATGCGTTCCTTGGGACTCAAAGAGTTAAGAGGGCTGCTGTGGTGTAGTGGCTAGATGCTCGCCTGCGGATCGGAATGTGTGGCTTTAGATCCTAACAGAGTCTGACTTGTTTCAAACAATGACTTTGGCTGCCTGGTCACTCCAGCCTTAAATGGGTACCAAGAAAAGTCCTGGGAAGTAAAGGTGGCCAGCATGATATTGACCACATCACCCACACACACATCTATAAAATACAGGTCTAGCCCTATATACCCAGTATTATACCCAGTGTGCCTGAAGGGCAGTATTAATAGTAGTTGTAGTCATAGTGGTAGTGGTAGTAGCAGTGTTGTAGTAGCAGTAGTAGTTGTAGTCATAGTGGTAGTGGTAGTAGCAGTGTTGTAGTAGTAGCAGTAGTTGTAGTCATAGTGGTAGTGGTAGTAGCAGTGTTGTAGTAGTAGCAGTAGTTGTAGTCATAGTGGTAGTGGTAGTAGCAGTGTTGTAGTAGTAGCAGTAGTTGTAGTCATAGTGGTAGTGGTAGTAGCAGTGTTGTAGTAGTAGTAGTAGTAGTAATAGTAATAGTAGTTGTAGTCATAGTGGTAGTGGTAGTAGCAGTGTTGTAGTAGTGCCAGTAGTTGTAGTCATAGTGGTAGTGGTAATAGCAGTGTTGTAGTAGCAGCAGTAGTAGTAATAGTAATAGTAGTTGTAGTCATAGTGGTAGTGGTAGTAGCAGTGTTGTAGTAGTAGTAGTAGTAATAGTAATAGTAGTTGTAGTCATAGTGGTAGTGGTAGTAGCAGTGTTGTAGTAGCAGTAGTAGTAATAGTAATAGTAGTTGTAGTCATAGTGGTAGTGGTAATAGCAGTGTTGTAGTAGCAGTAGTAGTAATAGTAATAGTAGTTGTAGTCATAGTGGTAGTGGTAATAGCAGTGTTGTAGTAGCAGTAGTAGTAATAGTAATAGTAGTTATAGTCATAGTGGTAGTGGTAATAGCAGTGTTGTAGTAGCAGCAGCAGTAGTAGTAATAGTAATAGTAGTTGTAGTCATAGTGGTAGTGGTAGTGGTAGTAGCAGTGTTGTAGTAGTAGCAGTAGTAGTAGTAATAGTAATAGTGATACTTGAATAAACTTCATAATGTGAAGACAGACCTTACACATCCTGAAGAGGACACACAACTAAATTTGTTTTCTTCTTTCATGCATGCACAATTGTCCATGATTCACATCCATATGCTATTGAAAGATATGTAATGAACATTTTCAGAAGGAGATATTGAATTTTTCAACCCCGATGAGCGGCAAAGAAAGGCTGTGTTTTACACTCGAGTTGAACCACACAGAGATTTTATTGAGGTCAAAGCTTCATGTAAGTTGCGTTCTGAACAAATTTTATTTGTTTAGTTTTTTGTGTGTGTGCCTTCTTATTTCTTTATAAAGTTTGTTGTCTAAAAAATTAAAAAATGAATAGAATTGTGAAAATATCTCAGACAGAGAAGAAGAAGCTGGGGTTATGACATCTGCCGTTTTTACAAAATTCCTTTTCAAAATCATAAGGAAAAGAGAAATGAAATTTACGATTAGCACCTTTCCATCTTTCCAGACGACAGTATTATATTGTGCTGATTTGATTTGATTTGATTCAAGAACCGACATCACAGCACTCGGGGCATTCCCATAAGCGCTCCGTCCCTATCTTCAGCAGCCAGCGAACATCGAACATCTGCCAGAACCTCTTGTCACTCCCCCCTGCATCAATCTCACCAGACTGTGGTGATCCATCTGCTCCTCCAAACTGTACACGCTCTCCCACAACCCTGTCTGCCCTATCATGTAGCAGTATTCCACCAAGTTGTGCAGAGCCAGCCAGTCTGTCCGCCTGTTCATTTCCCAACACACCGGCGTGCCCCGGTGAAAAAATCCAGACAATACTCCTCACCCGTGTCCTCCGCAGCAAAGCATGCCACTCTGCACAAAGCATACCTGTTCTGATCTTCCTCAGCATGCTTTCTGAATCAGTTACAATCACAATCACAATTATATTGTGCTATGAGGAGACAAGAAGAGGATGAAGAAGAAGCAGAAGCTGAATCAGCAGAACAGAAAGCAGAAGTGTATTTATTGTTTGTAATTCATTAAGATTCCAAACTGTTTTACTCACACAGTACATTGTATTTCATTGAAAATAAATGAATAAAGTTCAGCATTAAAAGGTCACTCTAATATATGGTCATATTTTCTATTTGAATCTAACAGGCGATTGGGAGGTAGATTACATCACTGGTTGGCCATTCATATGTCATGTGACTGACTCGTCTGACATCTCCGTATATGGAATGGAGGATGGAACAGTCTGTGCATACCCTGAGCTGATTGGTCAGTTTCTTCCCTATGTGTTTGTGTGTGACTGGCACTGTTTTATTTTATGATTTCACTGTATATTTGAGCTAATTTCTTTTGATATTTTAAAACTAGTAAAAAATCAGGATGGGTAATACCATTTTGTCAAAATGATCACAATGTAGTTGTTGTTATCGACTCTTCGCCACCCATAATGGTCTTGAGGTAAGAGAGGTTTTGCTAGGTCAAGAGGTTGACAACGTAATGGATGCTCCTTTCGTGAACAGATATTCACTAGACCTAGGGTGAAGTAAGGGGGGGGGGGGGGGTAGGAACCACTACCAACAACACTAACACTTCTTATCCCGTGCCTCTTGAGGCTCAGTCAAGTGTTAATCTAAGACTTCTATGGTGACATGTATGGCGTAAGAAAACACTGTGATTTTAGTATTTTGGTTGGAAGGATTCAATTTTATATATTGTTTCTGTAGTTTGCACCTGATGGGATACAATAAAATGTGCCAGACAATAATTTATGAAATTTGTGCAAAAAAAAAAAAAAAAAAAAATAATTCATGTGTTTAAAAAAATGCGAAGACAAGTAAACATGTCACAAATATCAAAAATAGACAGAGTGTTTGTTTGTGGCAACATTCTCAGAAAAACCTGGAAAATTTTGTGATAACTGGAAAGATTTATGAAAGAGATATAGAGGAAAACAAAGTGAGAACGAACGAACAAACTTTATTTTCAAAGGGTTACAAATTGGGCACGCAGGCCAGTCTGACATTCAGCCCTTCTACGCACTCGTTTTTCAGAGTACCTATGCCTGTTATCTAAAATGCATGTTATAGATATAGAATAAAAATATGCATTATAGAATATAATACATACATCATGTGTACACACTCTTACACACTCACAGACATATATATATGCTCTCACATTCTCATACTTGCACACTCATATACAGACATACCTAACACATGCATACATACATCTACATATATACATCTACATATATACACAAACAGAAAAGACACATACATACATATATGGACATATATGCACACACACCTACACATGCATGCATGCATACACACACATACAATCACATGTACAGACACCCACAACCACACATGTAAACATACATACACACATATACATACACACATCAATACATACACCTACATCTTTACACACATGCATGCACACATACCTAAATACATACACGTACACCCACATACTTATACATCTAAAAATGCATACACACATCCACAAACATGCATACATACACACACCCACATACATGCCGACACACATTACATACAAACCCACACACATATACAATCACCCATACAGATACTCACATACATACATACACTCATGCATGCATACATACTTGCCTACATTATGTACACACATACACTCATGCATGCATACATACTTGCCTACATTATGTACACACATACACTCATGCATGCATACATACTTGCCTACATTATGTACACACATACACTCATGCATGCATACATACTTGCCTACATTATGTACACACATTCACTCATATACAGTCACACATACTGTAGAGAAGATTCTTAAGAGTCTTATATTATGGCATGGAAGTGTGTCAGCACACAAACTGATACAGGAATGGCAAGCCAAATTCACCCTTTCCAAATCAAGACCATCTTTCTCCATGTGGGTTCCCGGGTCTCATTGTGGGGGGAAACAAGAACAGACCCACTGCCTTTCCCACAAGCATGTCGTAAAAGTCAACTAATTGGAGAGTTGTCTTCAAAGTCGGAGTGCATCTACCTGAGAGGCAAGGAACTAACAGTCTGCATACAAATAAGTAAGATCTGTAAAACGGATGTTCATGCAAGACTCAGGTTCTGGAACAAGTCCAAAGTCCAGAGGTGGATGAACAACCAGAACTTTCTGCCGGAGTTTACAGCCGGTGAACATGAAGAAAAAGACTATCTTTTATTGCAAATGAAATTCATCCTTAATTTTTTTTGTTGCAAATCTAATTTATTTTGTTTGAAAAACAGTGAATTTAATTTGCAAAAGAGTGAAGTTGATTTGCAGAAGTGGGAACTGGTTAGCAAAAGTGTAAAATGTTACAGACACATTTTATGAATTAGTTATTTTGAACACAAAACTAATAAATATGTCAGAGACAAAATATACAAATTTGCAGGACATCAGGAGCCTTTCTTGGCAGTGGTGAAACATCACAAGCTAGCTTGGTTTGGGCACGTGGTGAGACATGATTCGATTGCAAAGACTGTACTTCAAGGAACATTGGGGGATAGTCGAAGAAGAGGAGGGCAAAGAAGAACCTGGAATGACAACATCAAGAAATGGACAGGACTAAGTTATTATATACTTTTTCATCAAGCAGAAGACAAAGAAAGATGGCGGATTTTATGTGCTAGTGCTTCCATCAGTACACCTCTCCGACCCTATTGGGTCAAAGGTTATGTTATGTTATGTATGTTAAAATGGATTTACAGAAGAGTGAAATTGATTTACAAAAGTTTGAATTCAGCAGTCCTATACATACTACAAGTCAATAAATTCAAATGTTTGGGAACAATCTCTGTGTGACAGAGATTAAAAGCAGAATAGGTCAAGCAAAAACTGCATTACAGAAAATGAAAAATATCTTATGCAATAAATGGCTCTCATTTAATGTCGGAAAGAGGGTGCTAAAGTGTTACATAGAATGTGTTCTGCTGTATGGCAGCGAATCTTGCAATGTCATGAACAAATTAAGAAGAATATGGAAGCAACAGAGATGTGGTTTCTGAGACGAATGTTACGAATACCTTGGACTGCCAGAGTAACTCAAAACGATTGCTTGAAAGAAGCTAATGAAAGCAGATCTCTATATACAACAATAAGAAAAAAACCAACACTGTTCTTTGGCCACATAATGAGAAGAGAGACATTGGAGAACATTGTGACAACTGGAAAGATCAAATAAAAGGGTAGAGGCAGACCATGAGAGATGACGCTGGATGGGCTGAAACGATGGCATGGAGGGATATCACCAAGAGAGCTGTTCCAGGCAACCAGGGATCATGATCTGTGGAGACACATGAGCGCCTACGCCAGTACGCCAGTTCCCTGATGATGATGATGATGACCTACATATTGTTGTAGACTGCAATTTGGGGAAAGTCATGATCATCCATGCCACTCAGCAAGGCACTTGATGATTATCATAATTAATTGTGTGGTTAGTATTTGAAGAACACTAAATTGTCCAAAATAATTGTTTTTACAGCTGACTGCACACAAGTCGGAGATGGTCGAATCGACGCAGAAGTCACCTACAATGGCCAGAGATACCCATGTAAGATCAAGAAAGATAAGCCATGTATTTACCGTGTACAGTTTAAACCAAGAGGTCCAGGAATTTACAAAATTTGGATTAATTATGAAGGACGACCTGTGAAAGGTGAGAACTGAGTTTACTGTTTCATTTCTTTCTATGTGTATGTTCTTTCAGCTTAATTTTAGATATCAAAATGTAACTTCACTTTCTTGAGTGTGTGTATAAATCACTAAGTTGTGATGTATGTGATTTTAAACAGACAATAAATTGCACAATTTATTGCCTGGCATATTTCGCTGTATCTCGTCAGGTGCATACTACGGTAACAATTATACAGAGCATGTTGAGAAAGGTGGAGACAGGCATGCTCCATGCAGAGTGGCAAGCATCACTTCAGAGGTCCCGGGTAGTTAGCATCCTTTAGATATTTTCTCCAGGGATACCGGTGTGTTGGGAAATGAGCAGGCAGATAGACTGGCTGGCTCTGCAACACTTGGTGGTGCATTGATGTATGATAAGCTAGATATTGTAAGGGCCCTTTGGGAACGAGTGAACAGTGCGGAGGCACAGATAGATCATTACGGTCTGAGGAGAATGGCGCTGCGAGGATCTAGTTCAAAACTCAGGAGAAGGATGAGACGGATATACAATCAGACGGTTAATGGTGCCATCAGAATTGGAACTCTGCTTTCTGCTGAAGATGAAGCACTTATCGGAGTGTCTGGAGTGCTGTGATGTCAATTCTTAATTCAACAATCAACTTTCTTACTAATTTCTTTATTTACTTTCATTTGACTTCCAAAAGATTCTCTCTCATTCTATATTTTTCATTTGATATCTCATTTTGTTCACGTAACTCTGTTTACATTGATTCCTAATAGATGTCTGACTACATCTAATGAAATGAGGTTTCATAAATATGAGACTACCATTTGTCTGAATGTCGGTGACCAATCTATTTATTTATTTATTTAGTTCATCTTGAAAATATTTATCCTTTATAGGTCATTGCAGAATCAACCCCGTCCATTTGTTAAACGTTTTGATTCTACTAAGCAGTTCTATGTTCAGTAGTTTGCTATTGCTTACCAAATTGATATCCTTGTCAAAATCAACACAAGGTAGTCTGCTCCCAAACTTCACACAGCTGAAATCACACCAAGTACCTCAGAATTATGAAGCACATTCACAGTACTTGAGCTACAAACACTGGCAGTTTATCTTGAAACTGTATTTTAGTTATGAGTGCAAAATGTTTCTGTGTTTGTGCAGGGTCTCCATTTGTCCAGGAGATTGCTGAGCTGGAGAAGCCAAAAGTTAGCGGAGATGGATTGTACCGAGGTGTGCCAGGAAAGCCTGCTGTGTTTACAGTTGACCCACGTGGGTTTCCTGGCCAGGTGTCGGTTTCTGTGACTGGTAAGTCAGTTTTCTTCCATCTCTTAGTGTTTACCTATTGTAAACTCTGGCAGAAAGTCTGGGTTGTACATCCGCTTCTGAACTTTGTTCTTGTTTCACACCCTGAGTTTTGCATGTTAATCCATTTTCCAGATCTGGCCTTTTTGTACGTAGCTGTAGATTTCTTGCCCCCAGAAATTCACCAGGGGGACTTAACATCCAACATAGTTCTGTCTAATAGTTTTTTTACTTATGGCCCTTGAGGTTCACATTTTGTTTTGGCTAGTATTTATTTCCTATGGTCACACACATGTCACAGCTTCAACTGGTGAAATAGACATGTGATTTCTTTTGGAGATACTTCAGTAAAATGATTACGTGTATTTTTGTTCCCATCTATGATATTGTATATTCACGCAATGTGCTGATGAAGGCTTGTTAGCTGCAACATTCTGGTGTAATTTGTGTTTGTGATAATGTTAAGCTGACTAAAACTACTTTTGATTTAGTTAATTCTAAAAAGTTACACAAGAAATAATTAGTTTTTTTTTCTGGCATTCACTTTTCCCCGCTCCTTGAGTCTTAGACAAAAGATATATACAGTAACTCTCTTTGGCTTAGAGGTTAGTGAAATCATTTCACAATGCAATCCTTGACATTTCCCGGGGTCTGATTGCCTTGCTGGGTGGTATAGGGAGGAGAAAAAAAAAACCATTCTCATGTTCTTAATACAGTAGTAAGAGAATTGCACTGTGGAAGAGATTTGGGTCTTACCATGTAATATTCTCATAGTTACCAGTGGATACATTGCAGCTTACCTCCATTGTTGACCTGGCAAAATTTGTCCTTGAACTTTGACCAGGTCCCTCCAAGCCTGTAAAAAGCGAGCTGGAAGCGCAGCCTAACAACACGGTCAAGGCCACCTACTATCCGACAGAGAGAGGGCCACATATTGTTCATGTCAAGATGGATGGAAAAGACATTGATGGTAAATTGTGGTAGTCTAGTTGTTATAGTCATGTGTTGAGTTGAGTCAAGAATTGACGTCACAGCACTCGGGACATTCCCATGCATGCTCCATCCTCATCTTCAGCAGCCAGCGCAGAATTACAATACTGATGGTACCTGTCGAAGTCTGGTTTTGTGTATGTCTTGCCTTTCCTCTGAGTTAAATAGCCATGTGTATGCCTTGTGGCACGTTTAGTTTAAGGCATCCTTTTTTTCAGCATTACTGTAATTGACACTTTGCGTTGCCTACTGGAACCTGTTTAATAGACAGCTTCTAGTGAGTCATCATCATCATTCTGTAACACAATGAGTTGTTGGGGCAGCAGTTGTTATTGAGCGTCCAATCAGCTCCCTCCACCTCTGAGGGTCAGACATGATGAACTTGATGGTTGCGTGCCTAAGACCTATCCAGTCAATCAAGTGCTGCATCCAGATCTTTCTTGGTCTGCCTCTTCTCCTCCTCCTTTGTACTGAGCCCTCTAGTATTGTTGTAGTGAGTACCGGCACCTTTTTTCTTTAAATAACAAAACAAAAACAAAAACAAAATGATAAAACTATTAAATAATCATTCCATAGTTCTAGTGGACTGTTGAAGTGACCAGTTTTCTGGGTGAGTTCCATCCAAATTTAACTCCTAAATTTATTGCCAAATAATTGCCCTGTGAAAATTAAATGGGAGGAAGTTCATGGAAAGAAAGAACAAGGGGAATGTCTGGGCAACTGCTGGTATCAACAGTTATAAGCAGAGCTTCTTTTGTCAGCATGTAACACTATGTTGTACCAGAATGTTTCAAAAATTTTTTTGGGGGGGCCTAATTTGTATCAATTCTGGAACATCTGGTAGGCAATGACTCTTAGACCTTATCAGTAAATCCTGGACCCAGGGGCTACTTCCTAAGTAATGGAAGAGACAGAAATAGTCCCCATAGCCAAGAAAGGAAAGCCCAAGGAAAACAAAGTCAGATACAGCCCCATAAGCCTCCGAAGCTGCCTTACTAAGACCTTGGAAAGGTTGGAGTCCCAATAAACCAGACCAAAAACGGTCTGAACAGTCCGCTCTCTCTTTCCACAAAGCTATAACAAGTTGATCTGTACCTAGAAGACAAAATCCTTCCAAAAGAGGACAATCCCACATATTTGGAGGTAAAATTCGACAAAAGACTAATCTGGGGCTCCCACATTGAAGACATGCAAAGGAAAGCTAACCTGAGGCTCAAACTTATGAAGAAACTGGAACAAACTGTGGTGGAGACGTCAACACTGTACGACAAGTATACACAGGATGCATATGACCAAAACTGGAGTATGGCATGGGGGCATACTCTACTGCAGCCAGATCAAACCTACACAAACTGGACAAAATACACAACACTAGTCTCAGAATCATCACTGGAGGTATGAGAAGCACACCAGTCCATGAGCTGGAGGCAACCTCTGGCCTCCAGAGCTTGAGCCATCGAAGGGGAAAAAAGGTGCTTACCCTAACAGAAAAATTTAACGAACAACAACCTCATGCACAGAATAGCAAAACAACTAAAAATTGACTGAAAAGACAAAGCTTTCATCATCTATCAAAATAATACTATGCAAAAAACAGTGACATTCTTTCTCAAGATCCTTCAACGTGGGAAATGATCCAGGCATACATCGTAGACCTACAGTCTAACAACAACAATCCCAGGCATAGACAGAAAGGCTAAAGAATGTGACTGATTACCGCATGCAAAGACCCTTGAACATGTCTACAACTGTTATCCAAAACCCGAATGGACACATGTTTACACCGACGGATCATTGGAAAGAGCAGACAAAAATAGAGGAGCTGGATCGATCATCATACTATTCTTGTTTTAAATTAAAATTAACATAACTGGCTTTAACGGTACACTTAGGCTTGACTCATTTCTTCGATATTAGCATGATCTCATTTTGCTATTTTGTGAAAATTCATAACATTTATTTTAACAAACTCAACAGCAAGTCCGTACCGACCCCTGGTTGTCGACCCGGTTAATGTGCGGATCTCTGGCGGTTGGAGACCACTCCTGGATGAAAGAGGAGTTATCCCCTTGAGAGTCAACAAGGAGAAACATTTGCCGTTTGATGTGTCTGAAGCCGGCCCAGGTATTTATTTCTGATTTTATATTTCTGTTTCTGTTTACGTTTATGTTTCTGTTTCTGTTTGTTTCTGTTATGTTTATGTTTATGTTAATGTTTATGTTTGTGTTTACATTTCTGTTTATTCGATGGATCAACATCACGGCTGAGTCTGAAGTATCCCACCACAGTGAATGTACTCCATTGCACAGGCGAGAATCCTGAAATACTTTGGATTGATTTTTAACTCCAAAGTTTGCCCGGGCAGCGCCGTTAGCCTACTCTTTTAATTTACAACTGCCAAGGGATTTTTTTTACATGCACAAGAATACACACGGGTGTCCAATCTTACTACCCAGAGACCAGGGGAAATTACTAGAAGTCCACATAAAAAAATCCCAGGTTTCACTGGGGCTTGAACCCATGACCTCCAGCACTCGAGGTGGATACCATACCTCGAGACCACTTAGCCCCCCAAATTTCTTATTTGTTTTGCTGTAATTGTTTAGTGGTCTTCCAAAGTTCCAGATGAGTAATTCTACCATACCATTTTTATCCTTAGGTTATGAACAAAATGATCAAAAATCGGACATCCAGCGTGAGTTGAGCAGCGAGATAAATAT